GAGTGTCCCGAGTGTTTCCGCCGTCTAGAATTTGATGCTTAAGGAGTAACATGGCGTCTTGAGTGGGTAACCCTGGTTGGAAGCCAATCATGTGGTGCGGGATGCAGTCGTTATCTTCGAGCTATCGACCAATCCTGTTGAGGTCGACGTGCTCAGCCACTTTGCCCACGCACGACGTGAGAGATATGGGGTGTAGGTTATCTAGCCTCGGCGCCTTTCCCGGTTTGGGTATGAGAATCGTGTGAGCTAGTTTCCCGGCATCGGGTATCTCCGCTTTTTCCATATTTCGTTGATAGTGTCGGTGAGGTAGGTGACGGAGGGATCGTCCAGGTTGCGTAGGAGCTTGTTGGTGATGCCATCGGGGCCAGGGGCTGAGCGGCCATTGAGCTCATGGAGAGCTCGGCGTACATCTTCAATAGAAAGTCGGCGTCTAAGTTAGTGTTGTCGCTGCCATAGTAATCAGGGTGAGGGGTCACAGGGCCCGTGGGAAGCGGGAGATATTTTTCCACGAGGTTCTTGACAGCATCTTCCGGTGACACTGTCCGTTTAGCCTGATTAAGTATCTTCACGATCGAATGACGCTGATTTGTGCGGGTGTTGGTTTCATTAAGGAGGTGTTGAGGTGTTTTGAGTAAGTTCCACGTTTTGCCATTTCGAACTTGACCATGAATCGAATCACAAATTTCGTCCCACTGCTGTTTTGAAAGGATGCGGCAATGATCCATCATGGTCTTGTTCAGCTGAGATATGCGTTTGCGTAACCTCCCATTAAGGCGCTGGCCCTTCCACCGGGCCAATAGAGACTGCTTGGCCTCTAGTAGGTGGGCGAGACGACTGTCCATCTTTTCGGTTGGAAGGTCTGTGCTGATAGTTTTGGTTGCCTTGTTTACATCAGCTTTAAGCTGGGCCGTCCACGTCTCGAGGCTCGGTGGGGTATCGGGAGGAGGTCGTTCTGCCCGGGTTACGAAAGAGGTCCCAGTCGACTCACGTGTACGACTTGGTCTTCCTGCTTACTGTGGGGAGGTGTGCAGCCAATATGAAGTGGTCGCTACCGAGATCTACCGCAAGGTTGCACCAGCGGGCGTCGGAGATATTCTTGACAAAGCATAGATCTGGCGTAGTATCTCTTTGCGTGGACGTACCAGTGCGAGTGGGGAAGGCCTTGTCCGTAATGAGAATAAGGCCCATGTCATTCGCATTTTTCCAAAGCTCGTTACCTTTGGGTGTGTCGTACGTGTAGCCCCAGGCGCTATGCGCTGCAGCGTTAAAATCGCCCGCAATCACTAGCGGGTTAAGCCTCGCGAGACGACAGCTTTCTGGAACAAGCGTGTGAATCTTTGTCTATGGTGGCTGGGACTACTATATACATTTAGCATGTATACGCTTTGTTGTGATATGTTGCCAGGGAGAGTTTTGACCATAACGTGCTCAATTTCGGGCACATTGAGACTGTGCGCTGTGCAGGTAATCTTGTTAGCGACCAGGGTGGCTATACCACGTCCTCCTGAGGGGCCGGGAAACCACTGGTATCCGGAAAACGTGGTGGTTGGTACTACAGTCTCTTGTAATAGCATGATGTGAGGTTTGGCTTCGTGGCTACGGAGGTATTGCTGCGGGAAAGCTTTCTTGTGGGTGAAGCTCCTGCAGTTCCATTGCCAGATTCGAAACTCGTCAATTGGCCTGGCCATCTTGAAGCATTTAGGAGTTGGCCTGAGCACCCGGCGGGTGCATAAGGGCCGCGTGATGCGGTGGACTGGGCACGGCTGTACGTTGCGACAACGGCTTACCCGCGGCAACGGCAGGGGCGACGACGTGATCAAGATATTGCTCCACTTGGTCCAAACGATTACCGTGTACCGCGAGAGTAGACTACACGAGAGCCATGCTTTCGCCAAGAAAGCGAAGGCTTTCCTTAATCGCTGATAGCGTGCTCTTAATGTCGTCTAACTCTGCCTTTAAAGCTGGCTGGTCGTGGGCTACCGCGCGTCTCTTGGGTGCCCGGAACCAGAGTGGGAGCCGGAGCGTTGCATTCATTGCATTCTTCTTTGCGTTTTCTCGAAGTATATATTTACGGTGGTTTCAATGATAATAATGATGACAGACGTTAAGATAGAGGCAGCCAATCCTTACGAAAATTCTTATTGAAACAAAATGAAGTGAATTTATTGAGCAATGACAACAGGCGGCATTGAAAATACATGACGGTTTAATTTAAATGCCGCTGAGGAAACTGCTGACCAAGATTGAAAATTGGCCGACGACTTTGAATTGAAAAGCCATCTATGAACTCACTATAGATAATATTAAAAAATACTTCCTCAATGGTATTTCAATAGAAATTAGTCAATGGGATTTCTATTGCGAATTGCTCAACAGGTATATTGTCGACAAAGTATTGAAGCAAGCAAATGAGTATTGCGGAACCATAATCTCACAATGAAAAATCAACAATCATTTTTGTAAGGGATATCTGCCGCTTCTATGCGGAGGAAAACAATCATGTACCGGTGATGTCACTGTTGTTTTAAGACGAAAGCCTCAGAGGTCTCATGAAACGCGGAAATTAACCATCAGTGTCGACGCCGTCAATACGAGTGGTGCAAGAAATCATCATCACATGATGACTTCTCAGATCGGCAAAATTTCTGTAGTCCAGAGAGTTTCATTGAACCTGTATGCTGTAGTTTCTTTGATGACATCACAGAACATCGTCGCTTCTTTAAAGGTTGGCTGATCACAAAGGCATCGAAAAACCAGGAGAGGTACAGAAAGGTTGTCATTCTTTGAACTACGGTTTCTTACACCATGCTCCGAACCTAGGGGCAGTGCAAGGACACGGTAGGTGCAGACGACTTTCGGGTGGAGGCGGGAGAGAATGAAGTCATTGGGTGTGAAAAGAAAAAGGTGGCCTGCGTTTTCGAGTGAGGCGACCGCATCAAAGACGTCCTGACAGTGATGTTAGAAGCCGCTGAAGTAATAGTGGTAAAGGTAGGTAAAGAGACTGTGCATCGTTTTTCACTGCTTTTTTTTCCCTGTCGCAATAAAAAGCGTAACACTTGAAGCGTCCTACCTTGCAGCGGTTTCTCAGAAAAGTGCGCAGAAATTATTAGAACATTGTTTTCTTTCTGCGTTTGGTCTCCTTCAATCGCTCGGATGAATGCCCACAACACTGGTCGATGAATGCGATGACAGTTGTGCTGTCGGTGAAAGTCGAAAGCTATAAAACCACGTGTGGTTTTTGTTGGCTTAATCAAGTTTCGATTTTTAATAAAACAAATACCTTAATGGTCGTTTAACGCACGCGCACACTTTATTGTTGTTCTTGTGGGTGGCAGCACACGCCATGCTCGCGTTTCTCTGCCGTTTGCAGGCAGGCATGCAGGCGAGCGAACATACCGCTACAGAGGCTAGAACGTTTCCTCTCTAATACCGCCGGCAGCAGCAGCCTCTGGCGCAACCTAAAGCTGCCTCAAGCGCGTATACAATGCAACTTATACATGTCTATCATTAGACAAAATAGTCAACCTGCCACGATTTCTTGTCCTACCCGTAGATTGGCCACATCAGTGTTAGGTGACGCTAGCGGTCATCCTTTGTATGCTTTCAACATCAGGTCAAAATTATAATTACTTTCTTATGGGACAAAAAAACGCGCTCGTTTCTGCTGATGTTATGAACGGTCTGCTAATTTGCGCCACAACCAGAAAAACAAAATTTTGCGGGTGGTAGACACTCCCTTCAATATTTTGTGGTTTTACGTGCCAATTAAACTCGCGATTTGGTTATGTGGCACGCAATAGTGTAGGGCTGCGACCACCTCCATTATAGGGCGCTCAGCACGACCAATATCAATGCCCTCACATTCGACTCACTTTGCGAGAAACGTATAGCCACCCAACCAATAAGGCAAACCGCCATCGGAATAGCTTTAGTATCAGTAGTAGCAGCAGAATATAGTATTGTGACCACACGCTCACAACTGTTTACAGAAGAAAGTTTGCAGCACAAACACCACAGAACTCTTTTTACGCCTACGATTCGGTCTGCAGTTGACGCCGCGAAACTACGATATGGTTACGAGGTATGTTCTATTGTACAGGTTTCCAGAATTATCTTGAAAACCTCTGGTTATTTAATCTCCACCCTAAACCTAGTAACTGGGAGCTCTATACCCATTCAAATGCATTCACTCTGGCCGGGAATCCAACTCACGACCACAAGCACAGTAGCACGACTCGTTAGCTGATAAATTACAGCGGCGAGTTGCAACGCGCACTGAAGATCTCTAATCTTATAACGCTTTTACTATAGCGTCGAAATTGATAATCACAATGCGATTCTTGCCTCGCTGTAAACTTTAGTGGACGACGAAGTCGCAAAAAATGGCTGGCGTCTCTCTATCCCAGGATACCATGAACCCGAGGTGACAGCTTGGCCCTCTTCCCCAGAGGTCGCCTGCCTTCAAGGCGTGAAGTTGTCAGTTGGGCCTCCACCCACTATCATGGTGTGTAGATGTAGACGCAGATCCTAAACATCTGTTTCGCACCCAGCACAGCGATATGTGGCATTGCTGGGTTACGTCCACACTTCCATACAATATGGTAGAGTGTATCCCTTGCAGATCAGCATGTGTAGTTGTTTTGGCAGCGTAATTGTTTGTTAACACATTGTACGCGGAGGTGGGTGAAGCGAAAAGCGCAGGTGCACTGGCGTCACTCGCCTTCGCTTGCTTCGCGCAAACGGAATCCAGCAGACATAGCTTGTATGAAAAAAAGGAAAATACAACACAGACGTCAAGAAAGGTAGGCGCTACAGTAATGACAATTCGCAGTGCTTCGCCCACTCGTCACACTTGAGTCAGTGAAGATGCGTCCATTTTCTTTCGCTTGTTTAAGTTAAGGCGATTCGCACGCACATTTAATAAACATACACATAGTGCACTGTATACCATGCGAACGCTACACTCGTTTCGCACGATATACGGTGCATGGCGTTATACGCTAAACGAAGCTCTTGCATTGGTGCCTCGATCGCATTTTGCTTCTCGGAGGGCACGCAAATGCGTCGCTGAAGTCTTCCTTGTGTTTAAGGGGCTCGTTGCACAGCGCCGCGCCGTGTTGCGCCCCGCACTGCATGTAGCACAGCATCACGTAGAACAGCTGGCGTCCCGACAGAGGCACGTCGGGCAGCCTCTGTTCGTCGAAGGACGCCTCCGTCTTGAGCACCGCCAGCGCGACGTCTATTGCGGCGCCGGACGCCATGTGGAGGCCCACTCTTCGCTCCCATTCGGCGTCGGTCTCCCTCGGTCGCTGAAACAAAGTGCGACCCATAATGGCATTCGATACTGATCGTGCCGTAAGCTTATCTTTACATCGGAAGAAAACGGGAGGGCGTTTGAGCTTCGCCTTCAAGATTTGATAGAGATGGCGTAATCTGGCCTGGTGCGAATCAGCTTCCGATGCTTCGGTTCATGCCGCCCCGCCGTGGTGGTCTAGTGACTAAGGTACTCGGCTGCCGACCCGCAGGTCCCGGGATCGAATCCCGGCTGCGGCGGCTGCATTTCCGATGGAGGCGGAAATGTAGGCCCGTGTGTTCAGATTTGGGTGCACGTAAAGATCCCCAGGTGGTCGAAATTTCCGGAGCTCTCCACTACGGCGTCTCTCATAATCATATGGTGGTTTTGGCACATTAAACCCCTACATATCAATATCGGTTCATGCCTAAACCATGCCGTTAGGAAACGAACGACTGTGTGCGTAACACTGGTCATTTCATAGTACCACTGAATGCCTTCTGCAAGCGCAGTTAGGTGGCCCCTGGGCCACATTTATTCCCGTTCCGAATCAGCGAAACGTCCGACGCACGTCGGCAGGGCAACACGCGAATCTACGCAGCTGTTCACAATTGTTTATGATTCTGCTGCCGATTACAATTAAGTATGTCTTATCAATTTATAATCGGTGGGCCATCGAAACACCAAAATCGTTGTTCAATTCACATCTTTCGCGGTGGCTGCATTTTCGTTGGAGGCAGAAATATCGTAGGCCCGTGTGCTCAGAATTGGGTGCACGTTAAAGAACCTTAGGTGGTCTAAATTTCTCGAGCCCTTCACTACAGCGTGTTTCATAATCATATGGTGGTTTTAGGACGTTAAACCCCACATATCAATCAATCAATTCACATCTTTCGCCGCCTGGCGCGAAACGCTCGCGCCACGCAATACACGACGCCTAAAGGAGACTTATGCCACTAAATAACATTCGTATTGTGTTCTATTCCCATAACCACTTCGAACAGACAATGTGGCCCTGATGAAACCCCTGCGTGCCAACACTGACGCCCTGGCTTCAATTCCCACTCGGACCCAGAAATTTCTATTATTCACTTTCTTTGAATACTTCTCGCTTACAACCAACGACACCGACCCTGAATACCGAAGGTACCCGCTATGCGTCTGTAAGGTATTACATGCACGTTACTGATCCTGCATGTGGCTAATGACGATGAAGAATTGTAGCTGAGAACGTTGCAGTACGTGGGAAGCATTAAACCACACAATCGTTGCGTAATCAGCATCGCGTGATGAGCGGTTGTTATTTTACTCTTCTTCCTCGCTGTACACCACAGATTGACGGCATTCCTTGCCCGATGTTGATTTATTTGATTGATCTGTGGGGTTTAACATCCCACAACCACCATATGATTGTGAGGGACGCCGTAGTGGAGGGCTCCGGAAATTTCGACCACCTGGGCCCTTGCCCGATGCGACGCCTGTATGAAGTTCTTTTGCCAATGAGATTCACGCACCAGCATCGGTGTGGGGTTGAAAACTACTAGAATGCAGGCGGCACGTGTTCGAATCCTATTCGATTCTGCGTATATTTTTGTGACTACTTTTTTCATGTCTGTGTCTATCGATTACTTTTTTTATGTTTATCGGTTACGACACCGACAGGGACTGGCGTTTAAGGACTACGCTAAAAAATACCGGGTTTTCAACGAAGGTACCGATATGCTTTGCCGCTTCGTGTAACCTCAATTAAAGTCACGTCCATTTTCGTATATTTTACTTTTTAAAAATAAAAAAAACACGGTTTAAAAAGCAACTAACTCGTTATTAGGTCACTGTGGAGAATGTACACCAGCATACAAGTATACCATGACCTATGTTTCTGTTGCGCACACTCCATACTTGCCCGTTTTATCTAGGCCCTACAGATGTCGCCATTTATCCGAATGAAAAATTACCCGTATACTGTCGGCGGGACGCTAACCTTCTAATCACAATACACGATGTTCTACGAATAGAATTACGACTGCGGGGGGGGGGGGGGGGGATGCTCGCTTGTCTGCTTTGTAGAGTATTTGTGTGTACTTAGGCCTAGTCCCCGGTAGTGTTAGCCAGTGCATGCCTCTCGCTGCCCTGTTTCGTGGCAGTAAAAAAATTCACGCATCCCTACGAAGTTAATCATGAAAAGTGGGCAACGCTGAGCGTATTGTATCGGTGAGTAACCACACGTTACCCGACTGTTGCCCCACATAATGTTAAGTTAGTGGCATCAAGTGTATATAGAGATAAAAAATTTTAATTATTTTTTTCTTGCTGTCATCTTAGGCGATTCAAGAAGAATTTTAAAAATTGGCGGATTGGAGTATATGCCTCTAAAGTGAATCCAAGCACTGACCACCTTATACCGGTGGCGAGACATACCACTTTAATACGGGCAATCTCTTCGGATAGAGTGCTCGAAATGTCCCTTTGTGTTACGGGTTTCCCTGAAGGAATAAAGTATACATTTAGGGCTTGTTTTCCTTGTTAGACACAATAATAATCAGATCTAACAGACATCTAGGCGCATTTTAGTAGCGATCAACTCATGAGTACCCTTATCGATGATTTATTTTCATGGGAAACAGCGATCTCTTACCTTACTCCCATGTCGAGGTTGATGTCTATTGTGATGCATACAATATTCTTTTGAAGTCTATTGTGAAGTCTTTGTGCCCCACATACATTTCTACTATAGCAACGGTTCAATACCGGGATCACTATGAAAGACAAGGCAAGGACCTCAGGAGCTTGGAGCCGCTCGCTGGATTCCGTGCTGACCGGTTGTGCCCTCGCGATCACCGACGTCAGCGTAGCTCTGACCTACTTGGCTGGCCCTACGTCATATCCCGACGCCGATCTCCGACGACAGCGCAGCTCTGACCTACTGGACTTGCCCTACGCCATCTCCTGACGCCGACAAGAGCTCTCGCAAGTGGTGCCCCGTCCTTGGACTTCTGTGACCGTGTTTCCATCTTTCCTATCTCTCCGATCCCCTCGATATGTCCTCGCTCGCTGTCCCAGCGCATCTCTCTCTCTTTCTCTCTCTACACCTTTATTCCTATCCTTTTAATCCCTCCTCACCCCCATTCCTTGTGAGCTACTGCTGAGGTGTCGCACCCTGATGCAGACAGTTACGGGGCTCACTTTTCTTTTCCCTCTTATAGCCACATCTCTCAAGAGCTTCGCCCTTAGAGCTCGCTCGACTTACGTCTTCGTACATTGCCGCGTAGAAGCAGCTTCGGAAGATATCTAGGGAATCGGTGCTGTGTCCCTCGTGACGAAGGTCGACGTAGCTGAAAATGGTGGCCTTGGCCACTTCGACGCCAAACGTGCCCAGGCGCACCGGCGCGGGCGCAGACACGTGGTACACAGGTGGCGCTAGTACGGAAGGCTTGAGGGTGTAGTCTAGCCGGTCGGGATAGGCGAAGAACGCGTACAGTTGGTCCCGCAGCATCCACGTATGAATCTGCGTACCGATGGCGTCCGCGTCTGTCTGACGGAGGGCGTTAGCAGCGTCTCGCACGTTCCTCACGAAGCTCACCTCCATGTCCGGAAAACGGGAGAACCTGTGGCCAGCAATCGAAGCGCCGAAAACTTCAGAAACAGTGCGAAAGGTACAGAATTGCTTCTATTTTCTTGGCACGCTTTTTCCACTATGGTGGTTCGGTGCCTACAGAACCAGAAGTTTCTAGAAAGGATCATACAGTGCAGACAGAATAACATGCTGCTCGTCATGCTTTGTACCCCCCATCCCCTTCATGCAGTACTCTGAAAAGGGCCTTTAAGGGTAATTAAATGATCATGATGATTATGATGACGACGACAGTGCTTTGAAGACTTCGGGAGCTTTCAATGCCTCAACAAAACGAAAACTGTTCATCGTTGTCAACACGAGGGATACTAAATATCATCACCTCTTTATGACGCCACCCATGACGGTGATCATGGCATTACGGAAAATGAAAATTTCGTAGTTCACATGAGATAACATCACGTTACGACGTCGTAGTCACGTCAGATCACCGCTTTGTGAAAGTTGGGTCGATCATGTGAGCAGTGCAAGACGAGGTAAGGTGAGAAAGGTTTGCAGCGCCTCGAATCCTGGAGGCATTGACACGACGACGTCGTTGCAGGTGATCGCGTTAAATTAAATCATGTGAACTCCATACGATGGTCCCAGTTTGTGCCAATTCCTGAGTTAACACGAAATCAGGTGAGGTGCACCTGTAGGTTTTAGTGGCATCGATACTGCGGGCACTGCAATTGCATATTAGGCACAGAGGGAGGTTGGGGAGGCGGGAATAAATCTACTTTTTACGCAGACCGCATAGCGCAGACCCGAACGCAGAACAAGAATAGTCCTAACTTACAACACACCCCCATTGCATATAGTGCTGGTACGTACGCACAGTGCCTATAACTACAAAAAAATGAGTATTACAGGCTTCAGAAAAAATGAAGTACCACGCAAGACCTACACCGCAATTGTAGGCCTTTTGATAATGAAGGCTTCTTGTGCATGCCCCATCATTGTCTTGTTCTATGTAAGAATCTGCGCTGTGTATTATTCTTAAGCGAGCACCAATGAACATGGTCAAACCTTGTTCCTTTTAAGATCAATACTTCCACAGGCGTGCGCACGAGGTTGGGGGGGGGGCGCAGAGCCAGCTCCATACATTGACATAATAGGGAGGGGGAACTGCGACGAACCCTCACCATCTCCCCCCCCCTCTTGAAGAGGAACCCCGCACACGCTTATCAATGCATTCACTGAGAAGACAAAGACGACGGCTGCTGCTTTCGAGTTGTCTCGCGTAAATACAGAAGGGCTATGCGAGATCGATCTAACCTGGCCTCGAGGTCATGCGCACTGGCGATGTTCATGATGCTGAAGACTACGTCCATCTCAAACCAAGGGTAGGTGGCCCTGTCGAGGCTCTGGTACACGGTGCGACGCACGGCCCTGGCGATGCGTGCAGCGTCGGCACGCACCGGTTCTGTGTATACGCTCGCCACGAACGGCACGAACAGGGCCACTCCCATGGTCACTAAGGTGAAGGACAGGCACGCGCGCTGGTGTTGCGCCGCGACATCCTCGCCGTAGCCGTGGTAGTTTGCGATCAGTTGTCGGTTGGCGAACCACGAGGTGAGCTGGACACACAGCCAGCCGATGACGAGCTCGACGACGGACTCCTTCTGCGCGATCAGCTGCAGCGCCACCAGGAAATACTCCCGGTGGCTCGTCGAGATCGTGATCTGGATGTGTAGCACATGAAATAAGGGTCTTTGGTGCCTTTAGGTGAGTTTACTGTTGGACAATCCGCATAATGTGTTTAGAATAACTGGTTAACGATTTATAGTACTTGGTACTCTACTATGGGAGAGCACTAGTCTGTCCCGTTGGCCTAGTGCTTATAGCACTAGGCCCATAAACTGTTAGATAAAGCCTCTCTGGCTGAAGCTGTTGCAGTAATGTGTGCTTAGAAAAAGTTCTTAACGATTTAGAATAAGAGCTACTCTACTATGGAAGAACATAAAGCCGTGCCGTAGGCCTTGGTTATGTAAAAAACGCCCACGCATATCCATGAAATAAATGCTGATGATGGTGCGAAGCAGTATGCATCAGATTATGTATTATGGCCTTCTGTGTTGTTCTGGTTAACAGCCTATTATTTTGATCTTGTTAAATTTGTGTTCTGTCATGTGATTTGAGTGATGGGTGTAAATGTCAATGTATTTGCGGTGTTTTATTTTGTATGTTCCGGTTAACAGCCTTTTGATATTTTTTTTTGTTCTTCACAGATGTTCCGGTTTCTACGTTCGTTGTAGACAGCGGGCGGCGGTTTATGGACGGAGGGACATTGGGCGGAGTTAAGGTACTTCGCTCCTAAAAATTGGTCAGCTTCGCACAGCTGGTGCAAATACCGAGAAAACAGGGGACCTAGTGGCAACCTTTTCATTCCCTCCTCCTCACCCTAGCTTCCCTATGCCCCTGCCATGCCACATTTCACTATGCAATGATACGCTGCGCCGCTCACTTTCATCTTCCTCACCATCACATCAGTCCTCCTCATGCTCGGTTCTCATTAGCATTTTCGCGCAATACTATAGAAGGCTATGCTGTGATTTCTCTTTCTCTCTCTTTGTTTCTTCCTATCTCTTCCGCTGTCACAGCTAGGTTACGCTATTTTGTGTACGATACGCGCGCAGAAACAAACTGTCTATCAACTCCGGGATAAAATGAGCAGCAGGCTAAACTCCGGGGAAGCTGCCGAAAGAAATGTCGCGTTAAAATCTTGAAAAGTGAATGGCCGAGCGTCTACACGAATATTCAAGTATAGCGAATTATGAAAATAAGTGTACGTAGCATCAAAACGAAGTCTGCGTTCATCGTTAGCTCAAATAAACAACGTATGCTGCGCCGGTGAATGTTTATAAAATATATTGTTTTCAGTTGCTCATGTCGCGTAGAAGCCACGACATTGTGTGCAACTAGTGGACTGGACCTCCCTATAGGGAGGTCAGCCAAGGGGCTACCGGACATCTAGGAGCACAGCCACGTTTGCTTATAGCGTTTTAGATAAGTTGTACCTGTAAATCCATCGGGCTGTGCACGCCTATATGCATGCGTGTTGGATGTTGATGATTGATTGATATGTGGGGTTTAACGTCCCAAAACCACTATATGATTATGAGAGACGCCGTAGTGGAGGGCTCCGGAAATTTTGACCACCTGGGGTTCTTTAACGTGCACCCAAATCTGAGCACACGGGCCTACAACATTTCCGCCTACATCGGAAATGCAGCCGCCGCAGCCGGGATTTGAACCCGCGACCTGCGGGTCAGCAGCCGAGTACCTTAGCCACTAGACCACCACGGCGGGGCCATGCGTGTTGGATGTGCACAGGATGTTATCGGAAGGTGTCATTGTGGTGTGCAAGGTAATCATATGCACACAATGTTATGTGGGATCACATTTTAATTGCAGCATATCTGAATAGCAAAACCACAAACGTATCACTTCTTCTGAGTAGGTGATAAGTGTAACCATATAATCGCTATAACGGTAGTAAAGTTTCTTATATGACAACTCCTACTTTCGCTCGCTACATAGCTATTGAATACTAAATGAGAAGTAGCTCTCTGCCTCACGTGTGTAACGCTGCACGTACGTGCGTCCGTACGAACGTACCGCAACCCGTTCCCCTCACCGCAGAGGTTGTAGCGGTACCAAGCATAGGTCCCGCCACAGCTGCGTGTTAACGCAACGCCGACTAAATTTCAAGGCCGAAAGGATGCCGCACTGACATCAGAGGGTGGGGGCCCAGTTACGCCGCGAACGCGGCGGAAAGCCTGTGTTTCGTTTACGTTTTAGGAGAACCAACGCTCCCGCTCTCACAGCTGCTGCGGCTAGATTGGGCCGAATAAAAGATGTGGAAAAAAAGTCTTACTTAGCATGCTCAGTTCGGCAACTGGGCCCCCAACCTCTGACGTCACTGCGGCAGCCTTTCGGCCTTGAAATTTAGTCGGCGTTGGTTAACGTCACGCTCCCCTCGCAGGTGCGCCGTGACATCACTCTCTCCCTCACCCGCACCACGCTCGCCGCAGCACCCGAAGCTGCAGCTAACTGCCGGCTTCTCCGTCCGCAACACCCTTCTATCTCGCTTCGCCCTCTCCACCTCTTTCAAAGCTCGACCGAACGTCGAATAAAAAAAAACTCTTTCGGTTCATTTATCTGCGATGAAACGTACACGAAACCTAACCCGCCTCCCGTGTCCTTGCGTTTTGAAGAAATGCTTACCAAGTAAAGGCCAAACCTCATAAACACGAAAATTCATGCGACAGCGACGAGCGACGCGACGTAGATTGCCTTCGCGCGAACTGTCGCTAGCGCAGGCAAACATCATTCACGCGACGGGTTCGGCGAGTGAACTCCACTGTTGCTTGCATAAGGCCGTCTACTCGTACCAAGAAAACCGCGTAGTGAGTGGTATGCTATTTAAAAATAAGATATATTGCTGCGTAATGAAACGAAAAGTGTTTATTATTGCCTTGCAGCACTTTTTTATGTGCACGTGCATAAACATTACGTTATGTTTTCGTTGTGCACGCGTGACTCGGGCAGAGAGGTGAGTGAGAGGAGGTGGCGATTTCGCGGCACATGACGAGAACCGGCAGTACGTCATTCATGTACATCCTGTTCCGGTGCTTTGAGCACAGTACTTCCGGGCGATGGGCGACGGTTTGCAAATTGGTGAACCGAGCGATAGCGCGAAAACTATCACGCGACACGTCGCGTGAACGCCCTGTTTCATCGCTCATAGCATCGCTCGTCGCTGTCGCGTGCATTTTCGCGTTTGTGAGGTTTGAGCTCAAACGCTACACCGTGTTTTGCTTCAAACCATTCTTCTAGCACCCGTGTCGACGCCCTTTTCAGCCGGGTGAACGCCGTGCGCACCGCTGCTCCTTCGCATTCAATAGAACCCTTGTCAAAACGACAGCAACACTGGGCGGTGGCGTCCATGGTAAAGGAAGAAACTACCACAAAAGAGTGCATCCACCGGACTCCGTTCTTTTATATTCCGCCTTCGTCATGGCAGCGGCGTCCCACGCAGTTATACGCTGAAGTTGTTGCTGCGGTCGCAGGGACGCTCTGTCGTCGACTTGATTTGCTAAAACTCAACTAGCCTGTCTGCATTTAGAGGCAGAAGGCAAAACATATCACTTTCTCACCTGGTCCTGGGGAAAACAGTCGCATGGAACGTCGCTTGCATAACGAAGGCGGAATAAAAAAGAACGTAGCCCAGCGGACGCACGCTTTTCGTGGTCGTTTCTTCCTTTACCATGGACGCCACCGCCCAGTGTTGCCGTCGTTTTTGCAAGGGTCTATCAGGGTTCCCATCGGGGAGTTCGTCCATAGCATTTTTGGGACAAGCGCTCACTGCAGGTTAGTTGTAAGTATCAATATTTCTCCTAAAGTTGCAGCGCGCCTCTCAGTGTAAACATGTCCCCGCACCTCTTCGCTTCCGGTGAGGTCGTAGTGCCTCGCGATGGTAGTCGTCCACCGTTCCCACGTTCCGGATGTGTCGTAGGGGCTTCTTTCGAACACGTACGCTCGGGCCGGCATGCTGTACAACTGCAGAAGCGGTTCCAAGACCTCGGCCTCGAACCCAAGCATATCTTCGAAGGTGACGCCGTCTGTTACGCCGGCCCCGTAGTGCGTGTACAGCGTCTCGAAGTACTGTCGGTGGGCCGGCGACCCCAGCCCGAGCCTTAGAACCGTCGTCTTGAAGAGGTCGAGGCCTCGAGTAGGTTTCACAATGATCTGCAAAATCAGAGAGAAAGTGGATGCTTGGTCGACGAGGTACGACGGACTAGAAACAAGAACACCCCAAAATACAAAGCACTAGTATAGGCACCCGGAAATGCAGTTTACGAGATCTGATAGTAGCGCCAAAACAAACAGTAGGCGCAGCATAAGCGAGCCTTCCAATGCGTAGCCTAGCGAGTAGACGCAGCAAAACCGAACTTGCACGTGCATATAATTTTCTTTTTTAGTTGCGAGCAAGGGGGTCACGGCTGATTAGGCGCCCAGGAAACGTTCTTTGAAAACGTGCTAAAAGGGGCACTGACACTTCAGCGTGTCACTGTGTTCAGTGAGCGTTCCGTTGTCTCTTAGTATCCCTGGTGGTCGGTACCAACAATGCTGAGGCGGCCCGAAGAGCTTCGTCGCGATCTCTCGTCTACTGTCGGGTGCCTATAGGAAAGCTCACGAAGTCGCTTATGCATTCACATGAAGAGCAGGTTTGACCATATTGAGCTGACGAGCGCTGTGCACACATAGGGCGTTCACGACCACGTCTGCAAAAAATTAGCTACGCGCCACGTAAATCGACCGAAATTTCACCAAACTTCAAGTTTAACGCTGCTTGGCCTCCTCGCGGACGCGCACCCCCATATGAAGGGACGAAGTACAGGACGGGATGCAGGTCCGTCCTCTATGTAGATTTATCTTATCTAAAGTCGCCAACCGTAGCCCGTAACACTTCAATTATATTTGGTACATGCGCAGTTTTGTTTTTCAATTTGTTGCTCGAATGACTAAAACTTGAGAGCAATAAAGAAGCATACAGACGAAACATGTGCGTTTTTTTTAAATTTTTACTGCGAATCGCAGCGAGCCTATTCTGCCTCCGCTTAGCATGCGTTCATACTCAGGCGCTTTGCGCATCGTGAAGAGGCAACCCCTTACAATGAAACTACGTTTTGTACACCACGTTCCAGCACTCGTCAGGCTCATCTATCTTCCCTCGTTTATCTATATGTTCAAGCATGCTGCCCTGGCTGATAATACCACAAGTCTTGCGTCCATACAGATGTCGCACCCCGCATGTTCCGATTGAAAGCCAAGCGATCGGCGAAGACACAGTCGGCTTAACTTTTATAGAGATGATGCGCAGCGCTGGGAACGCCACCTCAATAAGCTTTATGCCACAGCACCACTCACGTCCCGGGGGTGCGGGCTGGTTCGGGCACAGTATACCTTGTTTGAACATGGCGTGTCCATGCGTATGAGCCAAACGATTCTCCCGCTCTAGTGCCGAAAAGAGCAGGGGAGGGATTTGGCTTGCGAAGACTACACGGGACGAACAGCAAGGGCTTCAAGCGTGCCACCTCGCATCATGCATGGTTTCGCGGCGCTTCAAAACACTGGCTTTCTCAGCTTCTAATGAAACAGTTGGAAAAATTCTTGTGGCAGTCTACCTTGTCCGCCGAACCTTCCGTCCGCCAGGCGAAGAGCTGGACAGGACGCAGGCGAACTGCAGATGTGCACGTACCCTAAGCTCTCACTGTGTAGCAGACTACCCGAATGCACATCCTACATATATATGGAAGGTCCGGCGTATTGACGTCGCCACATTAACCCACAAGCTCTGGCAATGTATCAGAAACTCGGAAGGTGCTAACTCCGGAACCCTTCCACAGCGGTGGGCCGCTGCCTTGCGCAGCCCCAACGACCAGCCTAGAGCCTTCCAGCAGGCACTAAGCAGGTCCTTTAAGTTCACCCACCACCAATGACACCGACACCGGAATGTCTGCGAAACGAGCTCTGTAACTTTATCGCGTTAGATATACTACGTGCTACGTGACATGAGCTGCCAATACAAGAATGATCGCCCCTAGACGTCTTCGCGGCGAGCAGCGCCAGCTGATTACCACAGGTAGAAGCGCACAGATATACACGATAAAATTAAAAGAGGACGACCTGTGCCTGCTGGAAACCAGGGTCTTCCAGCAGGCACTGAGTCTTCGCGTGCAAGGCTGTCAGGTATCCACGTGGGGTACACCTAACACCCGGTCGGCTAAAGTTTTGCCAGACTGGAACTAAAGCTGTTAGCAGCCCGAGCAATGCTCATTATTGAATGGGCAGCACCTTCCAGTGCCTGAAAACCTAATTATCCAGTATTTCACCTGGTAAGGGGACCTTTAAGGCGACTCGCCGGTAAAATCTGCTGTTTTCCTTTGTCGATGTATCTTGAGTTAATGTATATGCTACCTTTAGATATGATATAGAGGGAGCTTATACTTCAGATATGTCGACTGGCCCTGCCACTCTTCAACAACTTTTGAAGGGGAAGATACTAAAAATCTCCGCAAGGTGCAGACGGAGTCTTTTGAATGCATCGGGGCTCAGCAACATATATCGTACGTTGTACCGTGACGCTTGCCCGTGGTGCGACGGTTCATCAACTTTATTTCACATCTCTTTGGAGTGTAACCGAGAGCCAGAGAATCTGAACTCTTTTTTTTTGGACAACACTATTGTAGGAAGTTCGAAGCAGTGGGAGGCGCAACTTGCCAGCTCGGACCCAGAGGTGCAACTAGCACTCGTGAGTCACGTTAGGCGAGCGGCGCAAGCTAGCGGAGCCCTGGACTTAGGGCCTCAACCTCCATGCATGCTCTGAATACAATTTGTGCCCCTTCCCTCAAAATAGAGGTTTGCTATTATTCTTCTCCATTTAACGTAAAGCTGCCTCCGAGCATGACCTCCGAGATTGGAGTCAGTTCATCTGGCTTTGCATTGGCTCCGTGATCAGACAACTTTTTGAAAGCCACAACGCTATGTAATGAGTCTAATGACACCCATGATGTCTTGTTACGTACGTCATAATGACGGCATGACAATGTCGAAAATTTCAGCTACTTCTGATGCCGCCGTGGCATCAATGGTAACGTCAAACTTGTGATGATTTATTCAACAATATTTTGCACCACTCGTTCGTGACATTGCGGGAGGCGAGACACCGATGGTTGAATTTTGCATTTGAAGAGGCATCAAGGCATATCTCCCATAAAAAGAACACAGATAGCATCACTCATGCACTTACAAACGTCAACGGTGTAGACGTATCATTCTTGTCAGAGTACTCTGGCTTTTGCGCTGTCTGTGTTTAAAGCTAGAGCGAAAAAAAACCTTTACGCTTATCTCGCATCGTCATTACACAGCCGCTACATAACATCCGCCGCGTCCCGATGACCTTTAGCCGCCGGGGCGCAAAAGAAGGCGCGTTTGTTCGGCTTTGGCAAAACAACAAGAGCCGCATGGATCAAGCGCGAGGTTGAAAAATAGGAGAACGCTCCTGGCTCTCGGCCAGCTTGGACACCGTGGTGTCCGAGCCAGGAGCGTTAATTCGCCTGGCTCTTCGTATGGTGGCTGTGCACAGCCACCATACCACAGCCGCAGTTCTTGCTCTTTCGTCTCTGCCACACATGCATTGCCCCTGCGCTTTCTCTGATCTAAGTCATGTCACGCTATCCGCTGCATAGAGGTGTCACAGCTGCCTTCGATAGGGGCCTAGCCGCTGCGATAACGGCGTGCCGAGGAGTCAAGCCTTCTGCGCCTTCCGTCGTGGACACGCAGGCCAAAGTGATCAACTCTGCCTCGATTCGGACGACGCATACCGAGGCGGCCAACCAAGTTGTCTATGAACTTACGACGCAAAGGCCGCCGTCAGGTTACTTAGGAAAGGCCGAGTAGCCCGGCAGATTGGTGAAATTCATGGAGGTGGCAAAAAGTGTGGCAGCTCCACCACGGCTACTGTTTACTTGTGCTACTTTGCGAAATAAATAATTCGTCGGAAGTCAGTGCTGTGCAAGGGTCCCACCATGGTGCCTTGTCTAAGAAGGTGCACCAACGTATAGACTTTCACTTTCTTTCAAGTTGGTCGGTTATGGATCGCGTTGACATTCAACGGATTGTTGTTTACCAAACAACGAGAGAGGAAGAGTTGTGCCTAAAGTTTTTTATTGCGTGCTACAGCTCCAAACATTTAATTCTCTTAGCGCAACCTTGGTTCCTTTGAGCGCCATCTGAAACACACACTGAATCACACGCACGCGCACATTCACACACACGTAAATGCGCGCGCGCGATTGGGAATGGCACGATGGAGGTGTTGTACCACTGTAAACTGTCCCAATTAAATAAATTGATAATCAGCTCCTAATTATAATTACAACGTCATGGTTTGAACGAGCGGGGACAAGGATACGATTACGATGCATGCCGCAGTATAGAGGGCTCTATTCTTTTGAACCACCTGATATCGAGCGTGCACTGACAGCACACACTCTGTGGGTCTCTAGCATTCCATCTTCATCGAAATACGATCGAATTCGCGGTTGGGATGTAACCCATGACTTTAGGGTCAGAAGCCGAGCATCGTAGCCAATGTAACATTGCACGGAGGCTGACGATTTGATTGTTGCGGTACACAGTACGCAGGACAACGTATCCATCATGTCAATATTCTCGCATTCATAGCAACAGTGTTTTTAACCCACGCAGTGTTTACATTCTGTTTCAGCAAGACTCACTGACAAAACAAGTGGGTGCGCTCTACTGTTACATAGGGCGCATACCTACCAATCTAAGACCTGCGACCCTGGAGGAGTGCATGGCTGACGGACTTTTTTCACCATACATCATGAAGACACTATTCGAACATTTGAACTTCTAAAGCCTGTCTGATGACTAGGTCTTGCTTCTTTCTGAAGACGAGGTCTGGGTTGGTTTATTTCACAGAGAAAGCTGCTGCAGGATCACAACAGCAACTGGTCTTGATGCCTAAGTTGTTCCCATAGAACTTTTAAGATCACACGGAAGTTGCACCATAACCTTATTTGTGGCAGTCGAGTATTATACCGTAGAGCTGCGTCAGTGTTTGAAAATCTTTCACAAAAATATCCTATACAGGTGTCATATCGGGCAAGGAATCACACAAACACGTGTAATTTATCGTGGGAAAAGAGTAAAACACCAAGCAGGCCTCACACAATGCGAAATGCTCAATGAGTGGATCGTCCAATGCTCCCAGCTCATTACGAAATGCACAGCCATAGCTCCACAGCCGTATTTACGACGGGCTCTATAGACTATTCTACCGAGGTGTTTTAGTGCTGCCATGCTTTGCTGTTCGCCTTTGTGTTTCGCGTCCTTAACAAATAATTGAACAGTGTTGCAGTAGACGCATACACATGAAAGCAGCTTGGTCGGTGCATACGGCGTTTCATGGCCTCATTTATTCACGCCGCAATACACCAAACAAGAAATCATTGACTTCACAGCCCAAGATGGCGGCACCCATGTCAAATAGCCTGTGGAAATGCTGCTTCTCCAGCTTTCGCTGCGGCTATATGGCGTGTTTTATAACAAAGTCGTTCCGTCTCACTCTTTCTCGCTGGTAACGGCCTCCACGTACCTCAAACGAATAATCGCCGACTTTCTCGGCTTCAAACTCGAAGAAGCACGGCCAGCCCCAATTGTCGTTCAGCTCAAGCATGGTGCTCACCACGTCCACCGAGGCGGCGTCGCGATTGGCCGGGTGTTGAGGCCAGTGCAGGTTGACCTCGCGCAGGTGGCCGCGGATGCGAGGCACGTAGTCCGTGTCTTGGGTCAAGACGTCGTCGCAGGTCTTGAAGAGACGCGCCGCCTTCTGCGCCACAGTCTGGCTTTCAGCCGGGATCTCCTCGTTCCTGCCGAAAAAAGTATGAACGGTAAACCGCAAAAGTTCGCGAACCACGCGAGCACGTGCCAAACTATGGGGAGCCTTCATGTGCGCACCGCCATGATACTAGATGCAGCAACACCACGGGGTAGACAGCCTTGCTGTAGAAGGACCCATACCTGGCGGTTTCGATGACGGTAGCGAGAAAGCGCTCGTTGATACGATTGCGCACCGACGTCCGGTTGCTCGCTGCCCCTGCCGCACACGAAGCGGTAAAAGTCTTGACACGGACCCACCGACCAGTCCATGGATTCGCCAAGCAGCTGCACGCGAACAGAATGTCAGTCCTAAGCGATGCGTACGGGTGGAATGTTCTTGACACGACTGATCGATATCGCCGCAGTGCACGCGCGTTTCTTGTTTCAATTTCGCACACACCCACAACTATGTAAGCAATGCTCGGCGCTGACCAAGTTTCAAATGCTTCGCGATTGTAGTAGATCATGCAGTTTGTTGAGCACAGGACGCGAACAATCCAGCCTATTCCAGCGCTTCCGCGACCACCAGCAATAAGGCTGGAAAGTCTAATGCCTATGTAAAAAAGAAGGCGCATCTCAACGATGATAAGTTTGATCGACGGCAGATGCTCTGATTGCCGATATCAGTGCACAGGGTGGATTGCTTGCTGTAGTTTACCCTTCCGTTTACGGGCCCCAAGTACAGCGAAATAAAGCGTCTCGTCACTGCTGCCTTCGTCAACGCCACGATCCCGTAACAATATGCAGGCACACGTGGTCAACTATGCGTGCTACTGAAGGGCACGTGATGAAAAACCCGAGAGGTCACTGTGAAATACATTGGTTTTTAACGAGACAATCAAAGCTCGAACAATTACCGAACAAAGGAGACACGTCTGCTCAAACATCTTTGACAGCGCTCAACAATGCACACATCAGCGATCAACGCCAGTGGTTACAAATGGAAAGCGCTGCTATTTGGGTTGCGAAACATTGCACTAAACTTAGTCCCGATCAAACTATGAATGATTGTCAGGATTTGCGCCCCCAAAGCACGATATGATAAACAGGGATGACGTAGTGGAGAGCTCGTGAGATTGTGACCAGTTGGCGCTGTTTAACGTGCAGCTATACCTATCTACACTGCCCTTTAGCGCTTTGTTTCCATCGAAATGAGGCTCCCGCCGCCGGCATTTGATCCCGAAACCTCAAAGTCAACAGTAGAACGCCCCAACCGTTTGACCACAGTGACGGGTAAGAAAAAACATTGGGCGCAACAGCGAAAACGAGGGTCACGTGAGCACGGGCATAGGCAGAATTTTTCTCAGGAAGGGGGAAGGGAGGGCACCTCTTTGACCGGAAGTGGGTGCCGGGCAGGCAGATGTGGTCCAGAGTCATATTGTGCCCTGTATGACGCGACAAATGAAGTTTTCGGTCAGCAGGGGGCTATACAGATTTAACGGCTCAGTCGCCCGCCCTCCAAATCACTAACTGCGAGCTATGCATATACACCACTGACTTACTGTCCGTGGACTTAAAAAGAAACCTTCCTAAACAAAGCATGTACTTTGTTTAGACAAGCCATAAATGCTTTCCCTAGACATTGACGTGTCCGATGGCTCGATCGACGGAGGGGTGGGTTCACTGAAGCACATACTGTTGGATGACAGCGGCATTCCAAAATGCGCCTGGCTCCACTTTCACTCTGAAGCAGCAGGAAAAATCGCTCGCGTCAAGTCCAGGGTCATTCAGGAAGTTGCTGGTCCCGTCGTGCCGGTGGATTCGGTTCCCATCGATATACGCACATTAGATGGACAAGCTCGACTCACTGCCCCCTATGAGCTGTGGTGACTGTAGCTCCGTTAAAACATCACACGGCTTTGTCGTAGCAACACTCGTCGCATTCACCGGGAACCTTGCGGACTACCATCATGAAATTCTTGCTGCACAACTTCCCTGCGGCGTACCTACAGGATGCGCCGGTGACAGTCACCAGAGACTTCAACGTTAGTGAACTTTGACGTGAAAACCATTGGCTTGTCACGTTTCTTGGGACCAAACTTCGACTTCGCCTCCTGTCAGACGTGATACAGTCAACTATTCACAACGCGTGTTCATTACGGTCATTACTGCATTACTGTCCACTCGGGAACAATCGACCACGTTTGCTACATTTCGTATGGTTCCTGAATGAGTGAGTGAAACAACTTTATGGACAATCCGGCATAAAGGGGGCAGAGGTAGGGGAATTAATGAAAGACTCTAGCGTGCTCGGACGTCCCGAAGCAGCAACCTACTCGCGTCAAACCCGTGGGGGTACCGCTTTAAGCCACTGGCGCTCCAGGATGCAAAGCACGTGCTGGACCACGTCTCTTTGGTTGCATGGCTCTTGACTCATGATTTTAATGGTGATGGTACTTCCTAAATCTTCAAGACTTACTTCGTATAACAGCCCGATGTGTTGCTATCGCACTCATTGCTTGGGTCTTGGGCCAAGACTGACTTCTTTTCTGTTTTTGTATGACCAACCCCATTCTGTAACAACTATATGCGCCCTGATGAAGTGAAACTGGCCCAAATACGCCCTCAAGTGGACCGACAGACTGCGTACCGTGGTGTATTCCATGCAGGTCTCGTCGCAGACGGGCTTCATGACCTCTCCGTGCCAGGCCAGGAAAAGCGAGAGCGCACAGGTGCCGAGAATCAGAGCCGCAGCGAGCGCCACGCACATCGTACGACGCCAGGGGATGCCTTGCACCCAACCGCGCTGACCCTGGTCCGTGGCAACCACGGCGCTTGTGCGTTGGCGTATCAGCTGGGGTGGCTGGGGTCTGAGCTGGTTGCCGGGGTGCGCGTGAGGGTTCGGTGGCTCGGCGGCGACAGCAGTGCCAGATGACCTGCCCGTGTGTGAGTGGAAATCCAGGGGTTGATGCAGCTTGACCCGCTGCGTCGGTGGAAGTGAATACGACGAGATAAAGGCATGGGATGAGAGGCTGTCGTACCCTACAAGTGTAGAAGCTTGGGCTATAGTTGGCCTGGGTTTATGACGGCAAGTTTTACAGCGCAAGAACATAAGAAAAAAATGGGACAGAATAGAAAAGAGTGCCCTTTTCTATACTCTGTCCCATTTTTTTCTTATGTTTAGGTGCTGTAAAATTCGATCATGTACTCGTACACCTATAGTATTTTTAATCACTATGTCAATATGTCTATATTGCTGCTGTGTTGGAACGATTATTGTTAGCAGAGACCTAATCTAGCCTCCAAGAACATGAACGGCTGCCTATAGCAGTATCGTAGCTTGCCTGTTTTTATAATTGAGTAAAATGTGCCATGGTTGAAGCTTAGAAATCGGTGACACTTTTTTACGTGAACGGTAAGACGTACTCAGGTTAAACATCTAATGCTGCTCGTCTGCAATTTCTGCGTTAACCTGCCATGTTTCTTAGCGTGCGTATTTGCAATGACAAAAGGCTGTTCATACCTTCGCTTAGCAGCCTTTGCTCATGAACTCCACTGTTCATAGCTTTAATTTCGAAGACAAAATTTCTCCTTCCAACGTGCTAGTGTTAGCATGTGAGAGCCCCAAGAAGTCCGTTCTGTACCAATTATCTAATACAAGAATATCTGGGGTTTTAAGTTCTACAATCCTATGACTATGAGTGACGTCGTAGTGGAGGGCTCCGGAAATCTTGGACATATGGTACTATTTGACGTGCACAGACATCATACTATACACGGGCCTGTACCATTTCGCTTCCATCAAAATGTGATCGTTGCGGCCTCGACCGAAATTTGTACCATGTCTCTGAAAAAGTTGAACGATTACTTCTTTTTATACCAAGGACAGTAGTAAGCCCTTGCATCGAGCCCTGTCCAGGTACTGTTGCTTGTTCCGTACATTGTAGCCCAAGGAACGTCGTGTTAGTGGTTATAGACTACATAAGCTGCCGATCCTTGAGGACGACAACTGCTGTCATGTTTCTTAGACTCCTTTCGTGCTATGAAAGTGAGCTTCTTGTAAAAAAAGCAAGGTATGAGCTAAGACCATCAATGGCAGCACTGCTACAGACGATCAACTATACCTTTAGTGTTTTCATATTGCAGCGCACTCTCTCGTGCGCACCTGGACTATGGCGTGCCACACATCATAACGGAAGACAATTAGAATCGTCCGTCTTTCGGGCTCTCTCCCACCTTCTAGGCGTACCACACATACGAACTACAGCTTACTACACCCGTTCGAACAAAGGTAGAACGCTTCCACCATCTACTGGAGGCATCACTGTGTGTTCAAGACTACAAATACATGGACAGAGCGCCTGCCTTGGGTAGTGGGCTAACATAGTGATATTCAAAATCAAAAGTGCGACAAAAGTGCTCCTATAGCAAGGAAAACTTGGTCACGGCTTCGGGATTACACCATGTCGCTGAAGGGATTATTACGGGAGTGGAGAGCAGGGCTCCGTACTCACCGCCGGCTTTTCCTTCTTCTTTACGGTGAGGATCTTCCTCAGGTTCGGCAGGTAGTGCATGACTGCCAAGCGTACCACGGACGCAGGAACAAGAGAGCTCGCAAAATGCGCAACCATACGCGATCGAGAATCTTCTTCTTCTGGCACGTTCACTATTGCTCGAGCTCAAGGAACAGCTCGAGCGGGTTTCCCTGTTTCCTTAGTGGTATGGCACTTGCCCACTATGGCATTTCAGCCAAGAATTCGTGCCTTAACAGTTCGATGATAACAACAAGAATTGCACTGACACCCCTTCCTTCTTAGCTTCCAGTGCTTTTGTCGGGACGAGATAACACACAATGCAATTGCAGCATGCGACAAACCTTTATAACTACACTCGTACTGGACGAATTCTTAAAATTTTTCGTGGCATTGAATTCATGAGGTAATAAGCTCTTCTAGTGAACTCATTCCATGGTTACTTGAAAAATTGTTTCAGGGCCCCTTTAACGCGTTTTGATCAATAGGTGTCACGACGAAAACGAGCCCATTCGGCGATAATAGTGCACGCTCATCCAATATACTGTGTGCGTGTTTGTGTGCGTGCATGTGTGCGTAACAAAACACATTATAAGCATGCACTAAGCGGTTGAATGGTGCACTAGGGGCCGGATTTCGCTATCGCGTTCAACTCTTAAAGACGGAGCTTAAGGGTGCTCCATTTTTTACATGCCACGGAGACAATACCCTCCACCGCACAGAAAACTAAGCAGACCTAGGG